TAACTGACAGTCTCTCAAAAGTGAAGTATTAAATGTAATGGACACATTTCATTTGTAGTTTTCCTCCATTTTCTCTGATTTAATAACTCCAATAAATATTAATGCTAGTTTCATTATTTCCAATTCTGACCCTTTCTTCATCCGTGCAGTGGGGGAGGAAGCAGATGTTGACACCCGATGAGTCCCCCTGTATTTCTAGCGCATCAGTTACTCTGCCCAGCGGGGCGCCTCCACGGAGCCCTGCGCCTCCACCGCCGCCTACTCCTTGCCGATTTTTTCCAAATGGAGCTTTAGGTCTCCACATTCCACTAAATAGGGATGAGGAGGCCTTAACAAATCTGTTGCCAGCGTCTGAGATGAAAGGAACACCTGGATGTGCCCTGAGTATCACCTTCCGCTCCTCCCACGCGTCTGACGGGCAGCCTGCCCTTCTGCGCCAGAACACGCTCTGCCCTCGGCGTCGCCTGAGGGGAAACCCAGCCCGGCGACTGAGCCCGTGACTCCATCGGGTGCAGGCAATGCTGACAGGGCAGAACCAGTCGGCCGCCACCGAGTCACAGATGGCCAGCGCTGGAGGAAAGAGCAGCCCGTTATGAGGTGTGCGGAGACAAGCAAGTCCCCCACGCTCCATCCTGCGGCGCGCGTGCACATCTGGCACCAATTCCCCGCATCCCTGTCTAGGGAGGCCGTGCTTATGCGCACGTGTGTGCATGCCTGTGTGCCTGTGTGTGCACGTGTGTGAGCACTGTGTGTGCCTGTGTGTGCACGTGTGTGAGCACTGTGTGTGCCTGTGTGTGCCTGTGTGTGTGTGAGTAACAGCCATCTCAGTAAGCAGGTGAGAACTGCCAGCAGGCAAGGCGCAGAGGGAAGACGCCGGACAACCGGGACAAGTTAAAGAGGAGGCTGCTAATAAAATGTGCTCTCCCAAAGCCACCTCTGGTGGGAGGAGGGTGCATCAAGCCTTTCTTCTTTGCCTTTCACAAGCAAGAAATGTTAACTTTTATGAAGAGTTTTGGGAGATGACATTCTGATCAAGTTTGCGCAGATAGTTGAGTCCGTCTCCAATTAGAGCACATTTGCCTCTTCCTGAGGTCCCCCAATTTTGCCTGTTCCTCCCGGTCCTTTTAGAGAAACTGATGTCCACTGTATGTCATCTCTGATTCATGCCAGCCCGGGCCTCACACCCCACTTACCACATGTTTCTCGCAGTCTCTGCAGCACCCATGCCTCGGTTCCGCTCTTCCCTCCCTCCCCCCTGCTGCTCCCTCCTCCTCCCTCCCCTGCGGGTCCCACTGGCTCCTTGGCAGCATCTCATCCAGCCTCCAGCAGAGTCTCCACACCCTCCTCTTAGCACTGCCTCTCACCTCCTCCTGGCTCTCTCAGGGCCCTGGGCTCAGTGGTCAGGCGAAGGTACACTCTGGACTTAAGGGGAGGAGGATGCTGTGCCAGCGGCTGCAACAGTCATTCAGACAACTCCGCACGGGATTTAGCAGCCACGTGCTACAAGCAGGCACGTCCGGAGTGTGTACCGCCCTCTAGAATTGCACAGACAGGCACTGCTGTGCTTTGGACACAGTTGGAGCATTTCTGGGACTCAACTAAAAGGCCATCTAATCTCATCAGACTATCACTTGACTCGTAACAGGAGTATCATCTGCTTGTGGGAAGTCACCTTTTATGGAGTGTGGAAAAAAGAAGCAAGGGGAGGCTGGCATAGGATGAAAGCCACCTGTCCAGGCTGTGCACCGTCCTTCCGTCCTCACCGTGAGCACCGGGGCATGCATTGCCCTTGAAATGTAATAGATTAATTTAATGGATCAGCGCCCTCACTGGGTGTGAGCACAATATGCATTATCACTATATGTGTAATAAGCACTATTCTTAATCAGAAAACGCAGAATTAAGTAGCGACCTGGCCATGCGGCATTCATGATTGGTGGACATGTCATTTCCAGTCTGTTGGCCTCATTTCCTGCAACAATGGAAATATCATAAGGATTCTAGAAGTTCATGAATGCTCCTTTAATATGTATCTTTCTTTGAATCACAATTCTAAAATGCAACCATAAGTATCTTTTTCTTTCAAACATTTTCCCAGAGTTTTATGGTATTGACACGCACGCAGGCTACCTCAAAATTTTGTAGAAGGGAAAATAGCAAATAGCATATTTACAGCCCTGCACTGAAGATGCAATAGACGGCAGTCCTGGAAAGCAGTAACCCTCTGTTCTCAGAGTCCCCAGGGCCCAAGGGAAGGCACACAACCAACCCGCCACGGGAGCCCTGTCACACACAGGGACTCTGTCTTCATCCTGCAAGCAAAGCCCAGAGACCTTGCTTCAAGATGGCCGCAATTAAAGGACACAGTGAGCATTGCAGAGGGGAAGGGCATGCCTCTGACCCCTGCTAGGGAGAGGCAAAGATATACAATGTAAGCAAAATGTTTGTACCCTCATAATACCCTGAAATAAAAAGGAAAAAAGAAACAAAAAAAAAAAGATTGCTGCCAAGGCCCAGCCAGCCCCATCTCTGGGTTCCAGCCCCAGGAAAGTGAGGAGAGAAGACAGAAGTGAGGGGTAGGGAGTAAGAGCTTTCCTTTAAAGTTATCACTTCTGTGTTTATGAAAAGGTTCAGTAATTTCTTGTATAACTAAACATCTCTGACTAAATTAAAGGAGGGTCGAAGGCATTTCTCTCCCTCCTTCTTTCCCTCTGTCCTTTCTTTTTTCTTTCTCTCTCTCTTAAAATGTGGCAGGGCAGCATCTCCCTTAGCCCCTCCTCTGGTAAGATCTGATGTGATTTTCTTTGCCGGGATGTGGGTAAGGTGATGTTAAAATTGGGACCCACCGCCCTCACCCCGAGGAGGGACCCCCAGCTCTCTGCTCTCACTTGTCACCCACTAGCAGCCACTGGAGGAGCCCACCCACCCTCTGGCCCAGTCTTCTCTGAGAAGCAACGATGAGACTCACCGCCCAGCCCGGCCCTCTCCCCCCCTCCCCCCAGTGCCGTGCTACAGCGGTCCACGGCCAGCACCACGTGGATGACATTCACCCTCCAAACTCAGCACGCCTCACACGGAATCTGTCTTCTCCTGTGACTCTCCAATGTCTGGGGGATCTGGTTCTACCCTAATTCTTTATCCACACCACAGGGGCCTAGCATCGAATAGTGGGCAGGGCAGGGATCTCTAGGTCAGCTGGCCTCATTCCGTGTCACCACACCCCACCAGTGTTCCCAAGGGCAGAGGGAAGGTGCAGCCCACTGCTGGGAGCTCAGGGCCAGATATGCTGGCTTGAATCACCATCTGACTCCATAGTGTCCTCTCCTTCTGCCTTCTGGGCCCCACAGAGCAAAGCAGATCATTGCTCCACCTGGAAGCCCTGGAGAAATTTAAAGCATAACCACCTACCCTAATCGTACTGCTCTGCTTAGACGTGTCCTCCTTGGGTATTCTCCTGGCAGACAGGTTGGCTGCAGTGGTCCCATGCCCATTTTGCTTCTACCTCCATCTATGGAGCAGCGTTAGAGCAGAGGAAGAGGAGGAGCTCAGGATTCACTCATTAGACAGACACTGGTGGGTACCAAGTATGTGTCCAGTGTCCTTCCACAGTTTGTGACAAGGAAGTTCTCTGTTCCCAGATAAGTTTGCTGCTCACCCACCTGTGTCCCAGAGAGGCATGGATGCAGAAGAGCATTTAATAAAGTTCAACACCTATTCCTGGCAAACACTGCACCAGAAAACTCAAGTAGAAAGAAAGTTCCTTATTCTGATAGAGTAGCTAGAAACCTCTTTAGGTTTATAAACACATCATACTTCTGGCATACCGATAAATCCTTCTTACAGAGGTAGGGGACAAGACAAGGGTTCTGGCTGTCACCATTTCTTTTGAACCTTACAGTTGAAGTAGGCACTTTGAGGCTTGAATGTCATCATAGTGATCACTCAAAGGGAAGTGAGGCATGGCTGAAAGGAGAGGTTTCCCTGGAATTCTGTAAAATATGTTCCTTAATCTGACTTTGGGTATTCCCTTTGTGAAAATACTTTGAACTACATTCTTATGATTTGCGCACACTTCCATATAAAAATCATACTTCAGTAAAATATTGACTTAAAGAATAATAGAAGCAACCTGGAAGTGCATCCATGGGGAATGGATAAATCAAGATGCAGCCCTACTCTGATAATGTACCCAACAATTTATCAAGAACAAGGGTGATCTATATGCGGTAATTTGGGAAAAACCTCCGAGACATATTGCTACCTGGGAAAGAAAAGTTACCTCATGTTCCCACTTATGGATTATGAGCAAATATTAAAAATTTTTTTTTGAGACAGAGTCTCACTTTTGTTGCCCAGGCTAGAGTGAGTGCCGCGGCGTCAGCCTAGCTCACAGCAACCTCAAACTCCTGGGCTCAAGCAATCCTGCTGCCTCAGCCTCCCGAGTAGCTGGGACTACAGGCATGCGCCACCATGCCCCGCTAATTTTTTCTATATATATTAGTTGGCCAATTAATTTCTTTCTATTTATAGTAGAGACGGGGTCTCGTTCTTGCTCAGGCTGGTTTCGAACTCCTGACCTTGAGTAATCTGTTCGCCTCGGCCTCCCAGAGTGCTAGGATTACAGGCGTGAGCCACCGCGCCCGGCCCAAATGTTAAAATATTTTAAAAGACTTAGAAAGGAAGTAGGACATGGTAGGCAAAAGGAAAATTTCATTTTTTACTCTATTCGTATATTATTTGGCTTGTTTAACACAAAGTGTGTTCATGTTTCACTTGTGTACATGAGTAACCGTATTTTTCTAGCTGGGTGCCGATGAGAGCTTGGGCGATGGCATGGCTGGCGCAGGGAGTGCGTCAGGGGAGGCAGAGCGCTGCCTGTGCTGGCGGGTCCTCAGTATGGGGTGGCCATGACCTGGGGTGCCAGGCTCCACTGCCAGCCCCTCCTTGCAGTGGCTGGGCGTCCTCGGCAGGCAGCTGAGTCTCTGTGACCTGACTCTCACATGCGCGCCCGCAGCTCCCTCTCCTGTGTGGGACTCTGTGTAAAGGTATGCGGGAGAATCAGACCTTTCAGCTGAACCTTGACTCCAGTCGACTCTCATTCCAGCCTTAAAGTCAGAGAGAAGAATGATGTTGAGGGACGAGGCTTTCAGAGGTGTTGACGGTCACCCTGGGCGGGCTGGGGAGCTGGCCCCCACGCACCATTCCTGGGGGCAGGGTGCTCCCCGCAGGTCTTCACTTCCTTGACAGCATGTCAAGACACCATTGCTGTTTGTCCTTTGGTGCCTGAGTGGGCAGACAGAGTCTGGGGTCGTTACTTTAATGGGGAGGAACTACAAACAAATAGCCAGGCATAAATCCAAGTTTGAAAATAAACAGTCTGCCCAGACAGTTCCTCGGCTCTCTGTGAGTTAGTGGAGGGACGCGCCAGACCGCCCAGCTGCCTGGGCCAGCAGGACCCCTACCTGTCGGCCTCCCTCACTGTGGGAAGACAGAGAGAACGCCTCTCCCCGCAGGACGGAGCTCCCCGCAGCCAGCTGGAGTTTACCTGGTCTTTCCCGCCCGCCCCAGTAGACAGCTCCCCCCTGCTCCCCCTGCTCCCAGTGTGGGCTGTGGGCATCCGCGCGGGCATCCGCCGTCTCCCCGCCCTCACCGGCTGCGCGGTGCAGCCCCGCCGGCCCACCACCGCAGCTGAGGCCAGAGTGCCGTGCGAGCACGGCCAGCTGGGGCCACACAGGGGCGGGCTCCTCCCGCGGGCCACACGCGTGCCGAGCCCAGCCGAGTCTGGTGCGCTGTCAGGAGGGCTGGTCCCTCTCCCAGGTGGGCCGCCCTGCCCTTCGCTGGGAGTTTCACTGGCTCCACCTTGGGGCGCCGTGCGGCCATAAAGTGATACACAGCTCCAGACCCTCGTCGGCGCTGCCAGTGCCTTTGGACTGACAAACAGCGGCAGCCCCGTCAAAACGTTCTGGAGCTAATCCCGAATTAACTCTCCATCCCCTGCCGAGAAGAAACATGAGAGCAGTGAAGGTTTTATGATAGCCCATAATCTCAGGATTAAATAAGCCACTGAAAAAATGAGACAATGCATTCTGTTTTAATTGAAAGGCAGGAACCAAAATAAACACCGAAGTCCCCAAGTCCTGTCTGGTGACAAGCTCTAGGCCGGAGACAGCGCTAACTGCAGCCGCTCACAGGCACGCGCGGTGCGGGGTGTTCACCCAGGGCGCGCCCGCCCTCCCAGCGCCACCCGGCGGGCGTCCCTGCGTTCGCCGTTCTCCGTCAGGTCCGCGTGAACCGGCCGCCCCGCCGGGTGCTCAGCGGCACGCTCCTCTGCGCTCTGCCAGTTGCCCGGATCAAACCCTTGGGATTCTACGGTAATTGAGTTCCAGGTTTAACCTTACCTTCAAGAAAATGACTCAGTTCCACTAGGAGAAACACCCCACAGTCCGGAGAAAGTCTGAAAGGGAACCAAAGGCCCTACGGGGACCTGCCAAGGTGGGGCGGAGGAGGGAAAGGTAGGCAGGCGGCTCTCTCCCCGGGCGGGCGCGCACTACAGCCCAGCTTCCCTCCAGACCACCCAGTGCTACCTCTGTACAAAACATTAGCACCTTTGACACTCTGGGGCGGCTGGGCCCCCTCGGGAGGGGTGGGAGGACACTGCCCTTCCTCGAGTCCTGTGAACAGCGAGAAGACCCAGATAATTGGGACGCACCAAAGCAATGGATCAAAAATTCTCAATCAATATTTTTAAATTGCATCCTCAGGACAAATTAATTTTTTTCATTTTTCTTCTTTTTAAATTGAAGTCAAATAATGCGTTTGGTTGCCGACACTCACAATCTACCTGTTCTGGTCAACTCCAAACTCGTCTGCAAGAACCTTAGATCCAGTTTTCTTGGCTGTGGGCTCCCTTTTGCCCTTTGCTTTCTGTTGCAATATTTGAGACTTTTTCTTTAAAGGAAGTTTTATTATTTGAAAAAAAGAAGTCTAAGGGGTGGGCCCTCCTCTCAGCAACTGGGATGAGATGTGGGGCTTCCCTCCAGGCAGGTCTGACTGCTTCTCCATCCCCAACCTGGTAACCGGGGAGCAGCTCCTTCCCGCGACAGCAGCCCCTGTCCTCTGGCCTGTGGCCACCCCCCCACTCCCCGCCCTCCCTGTGACCTGCCATCCTGGGCCCATGCTTGGTATCAGTTCACAGATTCATACCTGAAGCTCTTCCCCGCGCTCAGTGTGCTTTTGTGAGAAGATGATTAGCTTTGCTTCCCCTCCTTCAGCCTTGTTTGTGCAGCAGGTAATTTGTTACCTGCTTGTCTCTGGCCGGGGGCCAAGACCTCCTCTCCCCAGCGACGCAGGGAGGCAGCGCCAGAGAGACCTCGCGGGGCTCCGACGGGCAGCGGGAGCTGCTCCAGGAGGCCCAGCCGCTGTGCAGTAGCGCTGCCTTGGGAAACGCCTCGGCAGGGCCACCCTCTGGCCCTGACAGCAGCCCTGCAAGGCTCTTGCGGGGTGACAGGTGCTGCCTGGTGCTGCAGCCGCCTGTCCTGGGGATTGCTCTCCACAGTCTCCCCACCCCCAGAGCCTGTCGCAAGGAGGCCGCTGGGAGCTGTGCTCTGGGAGGGCAGCAGGGGAGGGTTTCTGCCCGGTGAGAGTGCAGGGTGGGAGGAGAGGGGGGCAGAGGGACAGCAGTGGCCCACGGTACCCGGGCACCCCTTCTCCTCACGCAGTTAAAACAGTGAGCCGTCACTGTGGAGCGAATTCTAGAACGCACAGCAGAAGTGGGGGAGGGGTGCTGGGAGAAAGGAAGGCTCCGTGGAAAATGCCACTCAACACTGACTTCTTCTCATCTTCCTCCTCCTTGCCTGAGTATACAGAGCCTCCCATTAAAGCTCCAGAAAATGATCGCATGTCTACACCCAGAGACGTGTGCAAGAATGCTGCCTACAGCTCTGCTTATACAATCAAACAGCTGGAAGTAACCTACACCTCCATCCCTAGGGACAGTGACTGAATAGGCTCTGACGCAGGCCCACTTCACAGTACCGCGCAGCAAGTAAAGGTTCTAAATGCACTAATGTAAATTACTCCTCATACCTTTTGTAAGAGGAAAAATGTAGGTTATAGAGCAAGAGACACAGTATGAGCTCATTAAGAAAAACTAAATTTTAAGAAAGAAAAACATAGCACAGAAATGTTTACTTTTATAGTCTGTGTTTATTTAAAGATTAAAAAACAAGAGCTATGTAGCAGATTAAAAACATTGACCGTCTATGGGCAGAGGACTAGGATGGTATATGGGCAAGGGGAACTTTTATTTCATCTTTATTATTTGGATTTTTCAAGGATATACTCACATGTAGCTAACGTACATCGTGCACCACACAACAGCACTTCAGTCAACTACAGACCACATGTAAGACGGTGATTTTGTAACATTGCAATGGAGCTGAAACTTTCCTATGGCCTAGTGAGTTTACAACCATCATAAAGTCATAGCACAACACATTACTCACGTGTTTGTGGTGCTGTGGTGTAAACAAAACTACTGTGCTGCCAGTCCCATAAGTCTAGCACATACAGTTGCACATAGTGCATAATACTTGATGATGATGACAAACAACTATGTTACTGGTTTCTGTATTTACTGTACTGTATTTCTATTGTTATTTTAAAGTATACTTCTACTTACAAAAAAAAAAATAGGTAACTGTAAAACAGCCTCAGGCAGATTCCTCGGGAGCATTCCAGAAGTCCTGGTTATCATAGGAAACGACAGCTCCACACGTTATTGCCCCTGAAGACCTCCCAGTGGGACAAGACAGGAGGTGGAAGACAGTGATATTGATGATCCTGACCCTGTGTAAGTCTAAGGTAATGTGTGTGTCTATGTCTTAGTTTTTAACAAAAATGTTTAAAAAGTAAAGAAATGAATTTTTAAGAATAGAAAAAGGTTTACAGAATAATAATATAAAGGAAAGAAAAATATATTTGCACAGCTGTGCAAACACACAAACAATGTGTTTGTGTTTTAAGTGGTATTAAAAAGTCAACATTTTTTAAAAGTTTATAAAATGAAAAAATTACAGTAAGCTAAGTTTAATTTATTATTGAGGAAAGAAAATTTTAAAATAAATAACCCAAGTGTCCAGGGTATACAAAGTCTGCAGCTGTGTACAGCGATGTCCTAGGCCTTCACGTTCACTCCCCACCGGCCCCCTGGCTCACTCAGAGCAACTTCCAGTCCTGCAAGCTCCATTCATGGTAAATGCCCTCTACAGGTACAGTCGTTTTTTACCTTTTATGCCATATTTTTACAGTGCCTTTTCTGTGTTTAGATATGTTTAGACACACCAATCCTTATGTTGTGTTACAACTGCCTACCGTGTTCAGCAGAGTAACGCGCTGTGCAGGTGCGTGGCCTGGGAGCAACAGGCCGTGCCCCGCAGCGCAGGTGTGTAGTGGGCTGTGCCATCCAGGTCAGTGCGAGTCTGCCTTCTGCTGCTCGCACAAGGGCGAAATGGCCCAGGACGCATTTCCCAGAACAGGTCCCCGTTATTAAGTGATGCGTGACTGGGATTACGCACATGGCATCTAGAAGGTCATCAAGTGCTATAGGAAAAGGGGGCAGAGGGATGGCAGCAGGGAGTTAGGATACTGAATAGGGTAGCCAGGCTCTGTACTTTAGGTAAAATCTCCACAATTTTACTGTTGGCACACTATTTAAATTTAAAACACTGTACCCTCTGGGGGCCTCGGCCCAAATGTGTGTCAGGGGATGTAGACAGAGGAAACTGGGTTGAGGAATGGACTCCTGCAACGCCCTATCCCCAACTCCCAGTCCATCCTAGTTATCGTTCCTTCCATCTAAAGAAGAGTCCCTTCCTTTGAAGATTTACTATTATTTCAAGATCCAACTATTCCCTGAAACTCACCCCTTTGCTCCTCAACACCTTTGCTCTTCCGCTGCCCCCCAAAGTCGGCACCTCCCCTGCACTGCTCTTGCTGCCCCTGCACTGCAGGCCCCTGTGCCCCCAAGGAGCTGCTGCTCCGCTCTCAGCACGACACCGTGGGAGCTGGAGATCCTGCTCCTCTTGCAGCTCTCTGCGGTATAGACATGGATGTTTTATGAGGCTTGCTTCTTCCAAAGCGTTTTCTATTGACACTTTCACAGGAATCACATGACGTTTAGGAATGGATTTGGGAAGAACTGTCACTGTTGCAATATTCAGAGACTTTCGATGCTTCTGCATTTATCCAAGCCCTTGTTTGCATCCCTGGAGAAATGCATGTTTAGTTTTCCTCATTTAGATCCTACACATACCCATCAGACTCATCACTGGACATTTGGGGATTTTTGATATGTCATCTCCATTGTCACTGTGTTTCCTAATTACTGCTTATATGTGGAAAAGCTCTCATTCTAAACGATTGGCCACTTTATTAAGCCTTTTCATTCTCAGAGATTTGATAACCTGAGTTTGGCTCCATGGCATCATCAAAATAAAAATTAAAGGGGTCTTTCCAAACCTACCTATTTTTTTATAATTCATATCTTATTTAATTGACTTCCAAGATCATGTAAAATCTTGTACAATACCTAATGGTGATAGGTATCTACCCTCATCTCTTTGCTGATTTTTGTTTTAAGAACTATATGAGGGCCGGGTGCAGTGGCTCACACCTGTAATCCTAACTCTCTGGAAGGCTGAGGTGGGTGGATCATTTGAGCTCAGGAGTTAGAGACCAGCTTGAGCAAGAGCGAGACCCCATCTCCACTAAAAAATAGAAAGAAATTAGCTGGACAACTAAAAATATATAGAAAAAATTAGCTGGGCATAGTGTGCATGCCTATAGTCCCAGCTACTCGGGAGGCTGAGGCAGGAGGATCGCCTGAGCCCGGGAGTTTGAGGTTGCTGTGAGCTAGGCTGACACCACAGCACTTTAGCCTGGGCAACAGAGTGAGACTCTGTCTCAAAAAGACAAACAAACAAACAAACAAGAAAAACCCCAAATTATATGAGGACTTGCTTGTGAGAGTATAATGCCTACTAAAGTATATGGAAAAAAAAATACTTAACTTTTTAGGATACTTTTTAGAATGAAAGACATGGATATTGATTTTCATCAGATTACTTCAGCATCTTTTTGGCTTTACTTATGTTTTAATTTTTACATTTCTTAATATTGTTAGCTTTTTGTTCTGGGATCCATCACATTTGGTCCTGGTGTGTGATTAATGTCATGTACTGTAGGATTAAAATTGTTATTTTGTTGTTGTTGTTGTTGTTAAGATTTTTTCATCTATGGCACACATTTGTAAATCATGAGCTATGTCCAGAAACTATCATAAATCCCCAGATCTTTCCTACAAAATACAGTAAAAAGGCACTATATGCCTTTAAAACCTGTTATTTTCCAGTAATGTTAGTAGGACTTCTTAGCTTTTTTATGAATCTTCTAGCATTTGTTTCTTGGGAGCACGACTTCATAATGCAGATGTGGTCCCGGTCCTTGTTTGGATCCCCCTGAAAGCAGGCCCTGAGATGAGCATTCGGCACCAGGGATTTGGCACCTCTTGAGGCACGGTCCCAGGAAGCAGGAGTCAGAGTAGAGGAGGGAGACAGGGAAAGCGGAAAAGCCAGGGCATGGTGAATCAGCAGCTGGTCGTCTGCAGACAACCAGGCTGCATCTCCGGGACCTGGCTGGGAACCACGGGGAGCACAGCCTGGCACGGCCCTTCAGAGAGACAGGCAAGCACGGTGCAGACCTCGGGCCTCACTCGTGAAGGCTGCAGCTCTTCTGGTCTGCATGGCCTGCCGGCAGAGCGAGCGCCCAGGGCAGCAGAGTGAGGGCAGCGACAAAGCCACGCTGTTGGCTGGGAACCTGGCGTCCAGCTTGGGAGCCGTCCCCACGGCTGCAGCTGCGCACAGTAGACGTGGTGAGTGTCAGAGCAGCCGCCACAACCAGCATTCCTGGGGTGGCTTTTAAAAGTCTAATTCCCCATTTCATGAGAAATCTTTGCCTCAGTGAAAGTACCCCTCAAACATTTCCCAACTAGCTTCTTCCACCAAATTAGCTACAGACTGTTTGGTAAAGTTGTTCAGGTCAATGACAAAAATGAACAGAAAATTTAACAGAGAAAGTAACCATTTCCTTAGAGCGACTACCTTGCCGATGCCCTGCTGTTCTGCTGTGACCACGGGTATCTTTAAAACAGCCACCCCTTCCTGGATCAGGGCCTATAGGGTCTTGGTCCCGGGAGCACTTCCCAAACAAGCCATCCCGGTGTGCTGTGGTCCTGACACTGCAAACCCTGGACCCCCAATCTGGGGGAGAGCCTCACCTGAGATC